TTTAATGTACATATGTAAGCTCACTTGACTTTGCCGTTCAGGGTGTTCGGTTTTGTCGTGGGTTTTGCTTTTAACTTTGCGCCTCTTTCTCCGCAATGTTTTCACTTTACCTCGGTCGTTCGCTCGCGTGCGCATGCCATGGCCCTCTGACTTTCTGCTTCTGAGAACTTTCAAAGATGGCTGCTGAAGAGCCTACTTTGGAAGTGGCCGAGCCAACTTTGGAGGAGACAGAGCCTCCCCTTTCGGGTGCTTAGGTGAGACTGTTGCGTCTACTTTTGACGCGTGCGGCACAGCCTCAGCTTTGCCACGCCCACACGGTTGACTTTGGTCAGCCAGCTCGGCCGGTCATCGTTCCACTTTTGACCCCGGCAGACTTTGATCAGGCCGGTGTGCAACGGCCCCCTCAGCCAACTTTTGCGCAGGAGGCGCGAGCTTTGATCGCACTTTTGCGCTGGATCGTCAAGGCACTTTTGGGTGCCTTTGGTGCCACGACTTTGGCACTCGTGGTTCACTACTTTGGGCAACGGTTGGCGAAGAGACTTTTTAGGCGCAATGGCGCCTAAGCTGCAGACTTTACCGCCATGGAGCCGCGAGACGGCACACCCGCGGCCCGGCCACGGATTTGGCCAGGCTACTTTTATGCCCGACTTTTCCACATATGGCTTTTGGAGCACTTTGCAGCTGATGCTAGAGGTACTTTTTGGCGGCAGACAACAAGAACAACTTTGGAGACCAGGGTCTCCACTGCCGGACAATGCTGCAACAGCTTTGTCGACTTTGTACCCAGGCACAGCACCTGCCAGTCCCTCGTGGACTCCGCCTGAACTTTGGATGATCTCAAGGAGCCACTTTCAATGGCTTGATGCTATGCAGACGGGCACAGTTTTGAGGAGTCCAGAGTCATGGGCACCTTTCATGGTGCACATGACCTTACCTTTGGCTACTTTCCAACAGGCTCTTGCGAATGCCCAACGCACGGGCTACTTTACAGTGAGCCATTCCGATGTGCTAGGCACTTTGGACCAGTGTTTGAATTTGGCCCTTTCTCCACGAAGTGCACATTTACTTTACACTTTCCAGCTGAGCATCATGGAGCAGCAAGGAGTGGTGTATACTTTTCTACCTGGCACCGAGATCTGCACTTTTGGGTGCAGGCCCACTCAGCAGTGGTTAGCACTTATCTTCGGGACACAGAGAGCCCGAATGTGGAACAGGAGGTACGTTGACTTTCTGATCAGGTTGGCAACTTTTGAGATTCCGATGAATCCATCGGGATGCACTTTTGTGCTGGTGCGTCACTTTCAGCCGCCCTATGCTTTGGTGGCTGACCTGAACCGCTACTTTGCCAACCGTGGCTGCAGACACTTTAGGCTGATGCACTTGCCTGTGCTTCCGCAGGTTTACCGACTGGGTGCCGCTGGCGGGAGCCACGCCGTCTACTTTGACGAGGCAGGCACGGCTTTGAAAGGCCACTTTTACTTTTGGTTGAGCCCTCAGCTTGGTCGCTGCACTTTGATGTGCCGACGCACACGACATTTTGGCACAACGATACAGCTTTGTCGCTGCACTTCAATGGGCCGACAACACGTGCACTACGAACTTTTCTTCAGCACGCAACTTTGGATGCTGTATGCGTCCAGCCTTTCTCCACTCTTTTCAGGGCAACTTTTATGCTGTAGATATGAGGCATGTTGCAGTACTTTTGCAGTGGTCGCAAAACAGAGCCACTTTTCTCCGAACCCCTGACCCTCGAGCCAACTTTCGTGAGCTTGGTCATGTACTTTTACGTGCTATGTATAGTGATGTGAGAATAAAGTAGCATACTTTATCTCAAGGAGGCGTGTGAAAATAACACGTCCTCACCTTCTCCCCGACTCTGCCACTTTGGTGGCTCAAAATGGCTCAAGCACTTTGCCCTCGCAGAGAGAAAGGCGCATCTGAACTTCAGGGTTACTTTGGTGACTCAGTTGTGTGAGCTTGTGCACGAATTACTTTAGGGTAGTTTGGTGTGCATTCTGTACTAGTGTACTTTCGCAGTACATGCGTACACGTGCATACGTACATATACATATTATATATATATATATGTGTATATATATAGAGAGAGAGATATACATACATACATATATACATACATACATACATACATACATGCATGCATACATACATACATACATACATACAGACAGACAGACAGACAGACAGACAGACATACACACACATACATATGTATATATATATACGTATGTCATGTCAGTCTGTGTATGTATGCAAGCCTGCATGTATACATATATGTATGTGTGCATATATACATATATGTATATATATATGCACACACACACACATACACATACCCAAATCTACTGCTATGTTCATTGCCTGCTGAAGCAAACGCAACCATATGAAACATCTGCCTGGACCTTCTTGCCAGGGGCGCCGTCTCCTTCAACTGACGTGTATTCGTGAATCGGGCTCCAACGCCTACTCTCGTGCGACAGTGCAGACCTGCTGTTTGGTCCACGTTGTCTGCAGCAGCTGCCAGAACCTGTGTTGCAGCATGCGAGCCAGAAAATTGAGGCAGCTGCAAGGTCATGCTGGCATTCTGGTCGGCCGCACCTGGTACCGATAGGCCTCTATACACATTGCATCGGTGCCTTGGCTTTGCTCTGTTGCGCTGCCTGACTCTGCCATGTCGCTCAAACACAAACGAACCAGACAAGTCGAGATGTGCAGACGAAGCCAGCCCAGCTGCATATGACAAAGCTGTCGATCTTTGGCACATAGCATATGGGACCGGGCACCCTGTGCTTGATTCGTCTCTCGCATGCCGAAGCCCGGGCAGAACAAAGAAAGTCTGAGATCGAAGCAGAAAATTCGTTGTCAACATCCGGCTGAAGGCAAACGACTCCTGACATGGCGTGACGCCTTGCCTCAAGCCACTGTGGCCGAGCCTACTCATAGTGTCCTGCTCGAAAAAGGACAGCACGCCATCCAACGACCTGGGCACTCACAGAAACTCTCTTGCAGGGCAAAAGCTCAAGCTCGCCGATTCGGCCAGGCGAGTGCCCAGCTGGACGCAGAAATAATCACGATCTCTAACACCACCTTAGCAGGATGCGGACGCATGGGCTCCCGGACGAATCAATAGATACGCAGTGTCGTGGCGATGGGCTCGGTCACACACCAAAACATCCGTAACACATGTTGAAGGCCGGCCTCCCGAGCACGGATAAAACGCAACAAAAGCCTTAGAGCTTCCGCTCCACTTCAGTGCCTTGAAAGCTTGTGCTCATAGGCCAGAGCCATGGAGTAGTAGTTAACCGAGCCGCCAGACGAAACTGCCGACCTTTACGTTCCAATGGCAAACACTTGCACCCCTGCGAGCCGCTGATGCGGCGCATGCAACACTAAACTATGTTTCCAAGAATCTGCTGCTAGTACTACATGGGTCAGCAATAAGATGTGCTTGCTTGAGGGAGCACTGGACCCGGTCTCCTGCCAATGCCCTTGGAAGGGACGCTGAGGTCAACACACCATATACACTGACAGCTTCAGTGGGTGAAGCAAAGCCATGCAGATCTCTCGACCTGAGCAATGCACTTCGACAAGCCAGTGAGGCATTCTCCCACCCCTCCTATGATCTCCTATGCATGCTTTCCACAGATCTTGGCTGGCTGCTGCCCTGCACAAATCTGCCTGCCTCAATCTGAAGGATCGGCGCCTGGCACTACGGCATGTGCAATGCCAAAAAACGCTTCACGCAAGAGCAAGATAGCCATGTCGGATGTCGGGTGCCTCCATGTTGCTCTCGAGGATGAGGTCCTCGATTTTGTACTCCTTCTGCTTCGGGTAGTACCTGCGAAAACAGAGAGCAAACATGAGGCAAGCATTATTCGGACTTGATGATGGGAGTGGGGAGTCCCACCCACTCGACATCTCTTGCATCCGCATGGTCGAAGCGCACATGCGGAGCATTCCCTGGTAGCTTCCAGTGATGATCTTGTTCGCGCCGCTTGGTCTTAGAAAAAAGCTTCCGAAGACACATAAGTTGACACAAACAGGATGAAGTTGTCGAGGCGACGGTCGCGAGTTAGATCTGCTTGTAGTGAAGGTTCGTACTACAGACACTTGGGCGAAAGTGGCCGCGTAAAGCTGTGCGGCCAGTTTCATGCTTAGGGCCCGGGCTCATTGTCAATGTTGGCCAGGCACAAACAACCGGTGTCAAACCTCAGCAATCGAAGTGCTGGTGCGCACGAAACTAGGAAAGACCGTGAGCTGGGACCGCTGCTCTTCATCTTCGCTAACTTGGGTGCTCCACCACTCCCGCGCCTGCGGAGGCACAGCAAACTTGCAAAGGCTTGCTCACATGACATCTAAGACTGAAATTGAATGCGCCACAAAGCGAATATCTCACTTCAGCTCAGGCCGCAATTGTTCCGGCAGAGATGTGGAACCAAGGACGCTGGATGGAGCAAACCCAAATGGCCTGTGTGTACACAAACATGTGAGGATCTGGTAAATAATGAACAGATACATAGATAGATAGAGAGAGATAGATAGCTAGATAGATAGATAGATAAACACATAGATAGATAGACGGACAGATAGATAGATAGATAGATAGAAAGATGGACGGATGGATAGATCGACAGGTAGGTATCTATCTGCCTACTTATTTTGTGTATAATATATACGTTTTCCATGTTATAAAAACAACCAACTCGATATTAAAATGCTAGGTAGCATACTGCATATGAGGTATCGTACATAGCTCATGTCATATACTGTGTTCTTAATGCTATATATTCTTGTTAATATACCCTATCTCATAAGCTGTAAATGATATGATGTACATTAAGCACACCGTAGTGTTAAAAATTGTATGTTGCATATTCTAACTCCTCAGTTGCAAACTATATAACTCATGTAGTGTATGATACAGTCATGTATTAAAGATGTTCTCTTGTTCGTTGCATATCATATGCTATTTGTTGCACCTTACAGACTGAACATAATATCACATATTATACATGATCTTGTATTGCGTATTGCACACTGTATAGTTTGAATATGCTGAATTACATCTTATATGGTAATTAAGTATACACACATGTGTACATATATATATATATGTGTGTGTGTGTGAGCACGTGCGCCCGTATCTAATATTGCCAGGTATCTATGCAGAATATAACAAGTGGATTATAGATCGCACATCGTAGTTGATATAAGGTACATGACATGACTTCCGTTTAACACTATATCTCAAAACCCATGTATTACATATTGTGTGTGATAAACTATGTACTACATGTTTTGCAAATTGAACTGTCTATTATTACCGTTTGCTAGTAAATGATGTGCCATCTTATGTCTATTGTGCGTCAAGTGGTGCATTATGCATTATGTGTTCTGTAGGTTGGTTCAGACTCTACGACATATGACATACCGAATCAAATCAGATAATACTATCTCGAATTATACTTTGTACAATATACTCAGCTAGATTATACTATGTCATGTAATATATTGTATGAGGTCATACCATAGTACGCCATATCCTGTAACATCATGCTATATCGCAATTTACCAGATGATGTCGTATCGTGTTTACCATACCAAATGGTGCAAATCAGACTTTACCGTAACAGATTGCACTTTATGAAATTTACATTTTCACGCATTCTAATTATAACATACTGTTCTAGACTCTGGGTTATCGTGCATTTTACCATGCCATATCCTACCATACAAAATAAAACCAAAATGTATCTTATCATACGGTGTTATGTCATATGGTTCTACATTATGGTATAAGGTATTGTTGTAGATAGACATATATATATATACTCATATTCATATTTACATAGATATTTGCTGGTGTATATATATATATGTATATATATATATGTATGTGGTGTTGAATGTTTTAATGCCCTGTGTTCTATTTTACCTTCATTGCATTATCCATCGTTGTCATTTTGTGCGGCGTATTGCATTATACCATAACATGCCATGTCGTATCATGCCATGATATGTCATGACTTAGTATACTACATTGTCGATTAGTGTGTCGCATTATAAGGACACTATGTTATGTTATGGCACGCAGTGCAAAGTTATGCTCTATCTTTGTATCTTGTGCAAAATTTTGTCATACCATGTTATCCTTCAGCCAGATGTACAATATTTTTTCATATGCTATACTATACTACCCTGTGCTATAACATGCTATACTGTAACATGCTCTACTATTCTTTACTATGTTGTTGTGTTCTATCTCATGCAGTACTTTACTGTGTTGTATAATACACGTGCATCTACAAATATTGATGTACATGTATATAAATGTGCATGTATGTCCGCTTCAGGAGAGGGAGAGGGGACCATTGTATCTGGAGCGGGCTCAGCCAGCTCGATCAGGAACATGCCGATTTTCATGTCAGATCTTTGCGCTGTGGTCAACAACGAGCGGTCAAAAGAGCTCACAGGCGAGGGAGCCTCTCGCCAGGTCCAGCAGCTGCGCGGGTGTCGCGATGAAATACTGTATTGCGTGTCAACTCCGGATGGAACGGAAGATCCAAGACACTAGCCAAACTCACTGCGAACCGACCGAGAAACCTAGGACTTCACGATCCTGGTCGACTTGAAACATCATCACGATGCTGTGGCTGCGAATGATTTTGCTGTGCTGGCATCGACCCAGGAAGGCAGATTTCGATTTCGATTGGACAGATTCTTGCGGCCCCACAAATGTCCGATTTGAGATAACACCATGTGCATGGAGTATTGTTCGATGTAGCAGCTCGTTGTAAACATCCACAGTTCCGCCGTAGCGTGACTGAGCTTGCAAGTAAATACGCAACAAGGAAACTTGGTTCTCAGAGAACCGAGGACGGGCAAACGAATTTGCGAAAACCACGAAACATAGCCAAATCGAACAACGCATGATAATGCTATTCTCTGGCAAACCCTTGCGCATGTCGAAGTCCAGCTATCAGCTAGCAGAGGTGTCCCGTTCTGGGACATAAAGCTGCTCCTTTATCCAGCCTGGCAACACGAGGCAGCGAGTGTGCCTGGAAAAGGCTCATCCACAGGCCATGCGTTTCACCTTCTGCAGGGCGACCCGAAGCCTCAGCCGTTGTGGAACACAGGTACGGCAATTGTAACCAACCACCGTCAGCATCCGTGCAGTGAAAATGGAGTGACATCTTGCCAGGAATTCCTTGTGCCTCAAGATGGCCGGCCTACTTGCAAGCACAGCGCTGTAGGAAGCACTGTCAGGCTTGCTGGTCTCGACAGCATTGGGGCCCTCGCAGTGGAAGAAGGCTCAAGATCTATGATGAGAAAGCATAAATGGCAGCGGGGCGGAGACAGGCCGGAACGTGCTTTCAGGGCAAAGAGAAACACTGAGCGCAAATTCAGCCAACCAGAGCTGCTGGAGGCTGACAATTCAACATGTACAGGCTTCACCGGCTGGCTGCACAGGCCTGGCATCCTGACTCTTCTTGCCTTAACTGACAAACACTATCGCAAATCAACATGTCCGAAATATGTTTCTTGATTTGACTGGCCTTGCTTCGTAGATGATGAGGAACGAGATCTCGAACCCGAGCATGAGTTCGAACGTGATCTGGATGGAGAGGCCTGTGCAGCTTGTGGCTAGTGAGTCAACCATTACCCTGCATTTGCCTTTCTGCTACATGCATGCAATCTGAACCTCGATCTCCAGCGGCTCCGGCGCCTTCGCGGCTCCATTCCTGGTTGGCTAGTCTACAGAAGCCGCCGTGGTCTGCAAAAAATACAACTACATCTCGCGACTACGGGCACCCAATGGACTTGAAAGCAAAGGCGTGGCTGGCATCCCTGATAGCTGCAAAGCATTTTGCAATAGCAAGTCTTGGAAGACACATTCGGCATGTTGGCATCCATCCGTCGAACTCATGGGTTGCTTTTTGTACTCTGACCTCCGAAGCATATGAACAGCCCTTTACCTGAGCAGTATTTATAATTCGTTGAGATGGCTTGCAACACCCGTCACGGCCAGCCACAAGACAACTCCCAGAACAGGCAGGGGCCTTTCGACAGCCGTGCTCCGGGGTCGTAAGGTTTGAACATTCAATCTGGGATAATCTGGGCGGAAGATCGTGATTGCACAAATGCTGGACGAAGCTGTCGCAGTGAGCGTGCCAGAGATGCTGTGATGTGGTGGGTGTGCAGCAGTGACCAGCAGTGGCTCGAAAAGTGTGGACGTCACGAGCTGCCTTGATGGTATCCTGGACGGGATCTGAAGAATGTCATCGCATGCTGTGACTCAGGAGCATGCAGTTGTTGCTGAGTCGCCAGTAAGACTTCGGTAAGATGAACTACACAATGTTGAACCGACTGACAAGAACTGCAGGTTCTAGCACACTGCGACGACGCTGAAAAAGATGTTAGAGTGCAACATGCCAGGGAATCGCTGGTGCAGAGACTCGGCTGAACAGCTCACTGCTGTCTCCGGTCCTGGCGGTCACCGAGAAAATTCTTCCAGCCACTATAGGCAAACATGGCCTCACGACCAGCTGTGAATTCGACGACTCCATCTCCAGGCGGCATTGCATGTCCTGCGCGAAACAAGACCCTTGGAGATACGAGCTGTTCTTGATGAATCCGGTGCCTGCGAGCCCGCCGGTGATGCAATCCATGTCTTGGGCCACTCCTGAATGCGTGCAGAGTACTGACTCATTCAAAAACACCCTGTTGGAGCTCCAGCCTTCTCGGTGTGCACCTCAGGCGTTACCTGCAACACCACCCGAGGGCAAACCATCTTGTGCTGAACTGTGCACCCGGCGTTGCCCACCTGCCAAGAGGAAGTCTCCGCACCAAACTGCAGAGACAGCTCACCTCCTGATCACGTGTTGTGCCAGCAAGAGTGCAGAACTTGCAAACATTTATGATTTGGCAGCTCAGTGTCCGAATGCGAAGTGGAGGTATCTCCATGACCGACAAATGGACAAGGCTTTGCCCTTGGAGACCCAGGGGTAATTTACTTAGATAGTTGCTGGAAACTGAGAGGTTTGCTCTAGTGCTGGAACAGGGTTCGGAGACGCTAGCAACGGCAGTCCGGTTGACGGATGTTGGCGTCAGCAGACACAAACTCTGAATAAAACCCGTCATGTCAAGTCGAATGTCTTCTTATGCCGAGTTGTGTTCGACTTGTACTAGGTGTGATAGATATATGGCTGATCCTCAACGACGCTCTCAAGCTGACTCCGTTTATGCCCGTCCTTGCAGGGAGATGCCGAGGCTTTTGCCCCCTCAGTGCAGCAACTGCACATAAGTGGCACACTGTCCACGCGCAAAGACCGCCCATGCAAGGATACTTGGTTGGACCCCGCACCGCTTTGCCATCTCCCGCAAAGAACACCGGATTGTCCGGAAGGGATCTGCTCAAGGCGTTCCGCATTGGTTTGCATCAGGACTTCATTTGAAAAAAGACTGTAGCCATCTATAGCCTTCAGTCAAGCTTTTGGCCCCACCCAGCCTCCATGCGCTGCAGAGGTCGGAGAAAGCGAAAGCAGCAGGGAGGGTTCCCCAGCCATCACAAAGCGGCGGAGCAGAGCTATGCCCGCAGAGAGTTTTGTTTGCAAGCTGCAAGCGGATGTTAGTCTCTGCATCGTCGTCGATATGAATGAAGTGCATGCAGTGTCCTGCAATTCAACTATGACTTGCTGCAGGGTTCCCATATCGAGGAGGTTCGAGAAACGCACCAGTCGACCGTTTCGGCTGTTGTTTCTGCCTCTGCTGCATCATCAGCTACAGACGGCTCCATCGCCAGTGACCTGTCCATCGATCCAGCACTTGGAGAAACCGCCGACGGCTCATTCGTTGCTCACTCAACCCACGATTGCTGGCTGCCTTTTTTTTTAGCTTTGAAAAGCAATGTCAGCGGAAGGTTCTGTTTCCTTGCAGATGCAAGAAGGTTGCCTGCGGCCGAAGGCCTTGCCTTTGAAAGCCTTCTAGCTGAGATCTTCCCAGCTTTGCCTGAAGCAGCCGTTTATCAAAAGATCTCTATCGAGCAAGGCGTGTTTCACTTGTAGCGCTCGATGTGCTTCTCAATCAATGCCTGGAGCCTCAAATGAGGGCTTTGGCCCATTTTGTGTGTCTCTCCAGGCCAAGGACTTTCTCTCTTGTGCTGTGCCAGGGAACCATTCAGCCTCCACCTCGGGCAGGCCCTCCTGCCTCAGCGCACCCAAGGCATGGCATTCACAGCACACGATCTTGATTGTTGTCTCTGCGCATTGCGACATGAACCCCTTAACTATGCGGGAAACAAACGTGTTGTTCGGAAGTTCACGGAGTTCTACTCCGCTTGCACTGCACTGCATGGCGCTGAGAAGGCAGCACTTTCACGCTCACCAGGCCCTCTTCCAGCCTGGAAACTGTGATCTGTTGGACTGGGTCCTGGGACCGCAGGCCCGAGAAGCTTGCTGCCAAGGGACACAACATCCTTGCCTCCAGTGGTCCCATTCGTCAAAACAAGGCACTGGAGATCGGCCTGCTTCGGACTCTGTTGGCACTTTTTCAGCAACACTGCCAAGCTGGAATCCAAGCCGCTGGCTGTTCGGCCTTCTTCGAGAACCTTGCCATCTACTCGGCCTTGGCGTGGACATGCATGGACATCTGATACGTGTGTGGCCATGGGAATAATCGACAGCTCTCACCGCTTCGAGAACGAGAGGACATGAGAGGATGACACCCATCCGGGCAAATTTCACGGGGCGCTACTGGATCTGAAAGGCTTCACAGCAGGTAGATCACGTCAGATGATCTCTCAGCCTACAACGGCAATGGCCCGAATTCATGCTTCATGATATGTACAGGGTTGGCCATTCCTGCACTCTCAGAATAACCTGAAATATCCTGCATTTGCCAAGAGGCAAGGGGTGTCCGTGATGACCTCTATCAGACTCTATCCGAAGTAATGCCGCATGTCTTGGTGTCCCGACAACTGGAGCAGCTGCCTCGTCATGTTACGCTGCACTTCCGCATCGCTCCCCAAGTCGGCAGCTGTTAGGTGAGAAATTCGACGATCCAGGATCTTATCGGTCCTCTTGTCTGAAAAAGTCGCCACAGATCTCAGAGGGACCCTTGAAGCACACAGACATGCACCGTAGCAGAGGTTTGTGGCCGCACAGCTTGCTATGCTCAGGTCCCAGTTCAAAGCTAAGGCCGCTTCTGAAGACGTGCCTATTATCAAGGCATCTGGAAGTGATTGCACTGTCTCGCGGTCGCCACAGTCGCCGTCGAAGATGCGCAGGGTGCCATCGATGCGGATGCTGAAGAGCATGAGTTTGTCACGAGCACCATAAGCCCGCGAGGAGCGTCGTTTCAGCGGGAAGCCGAAGAAGGCGCCGAAGACTTCGCCAGAGAGACTTTCACATGCCAACAGCTGCATCCTCCCTAATGCTGCAGTTTGTCGGAGCAGGCTCGCCAAGGAATTCCCGTGGTAACGTGACGAGAAGGAGAGACATGCACTTTGCAAATTGAATCCTTTGATGTGCAAGTGCATGCTCAGACTGTGGAGGCCAAGACGAAGCTTCTCAGCAGCCCGCATGTCGAAGTGGACGAACTTGTTGAACTGCCAGGGATGCATAGGGATGCACTCGGCTCACTGGGATTGGACTACTTGCTGGACAATGAGGTATGTAATAAGCAGGCAGGCAAGCAAGAAGGCCTGTTTGCAAGTAAATTAGTTAGATGGCTGCTTGTAGGTTCGGGTTGTATGTTGGATTAGGTTAGGCTAGGTTTAGCTTTAGCTGGAGGTGCTTAGGTCTAGTAGTTAGGCTAGGTGCGGTTACGCTACATTGGGTATCAATGAGTTAGGTCAGGTTAGGTCAGCTTGGCAGGTAAACCAGCATGCGGGGATCAGCCTGATGTCTGGCGCCGCAACTGCAGAAGCCGGGAACAAGTCTGCGTGCATGGCAGACATTGCAGAAACGGAGGGTTGCCACAGCTACTTTGTCCAGAACGGTGCAGCCACCCAAGTCCGTAAACTCCTCGACCTTGTCCCGTACGACCGACGGGAAGAGCTTGACATAGAAGTGCTGCCAGAAGCTGTCGGCTCGGAGTGTTACCCGCAGTTGTTTGCAGCTTCGCATGATGTCATGGATGGTCGGAAGACTCAGAAACTCAGAGAGAACATGAAGTACTTCGGCTGGAAAATCTGCAAGGGGCACCCCGAGAGAAATCTGTGCATCATCTTGCTTTGGGAATAGGACGTTGCGAACATCTTCCACCTTGCAGGGCAACTGACTAATCACTTTTGCAGACACGTAGAGACACAGTCATTCTGTCTGCATCCAGGCATGCACGGGCGAGAATATCAGCTGGACTCTGGGTGGGAGGGTGTGTGGGTGGGTTGTCTCCGTCCGTGTGTTGAAACATCCGGTACACTTTTTTGTGACATTGCATGGAGGCATTATTTTCTGGTCACCTGCCTGGCTGCTGGGAAGGATGGAGTGATGCTGGGCAAGCAAACGGGCAGTAAAACATTAAAACAAAGCCGAAGGTGGAGAGAACCTGCATAAGCTCTGATCAAACTGCCGAGCCCCACTGTGCTCCCCACCTGACTTCGCTTTAGCTTGAGTACCATGGTCAAGGGTTCACAGCAGCACATGTGCCGGAGCAGCTTTGTGGTCCAATTAGTGCGGCTGAGCTCGAGGTGCGAAGAGCCCGAGCGAAGCCGAAGGCTGCTCAGCGGAAACACTGTTGGTGGCTTGTGATAAGCAACGTAGACGCGAAGATCCTCCGATCCGATCGTGAGGATACATCTCCTCCTCTCCCACAAAGCAGACACTGAAAAGCGACATCCAGGAGTGCGAGCTTCTGCGATCCGCTGAAGGTCTGGGCCGGCTTTGCGCTCACAACGGCCAGTCGCTGCCTCTCTGGCACGGCCCGGATTCTGATGGCCCTGATGGCCCTGAGGGTCTTGGTCTTGACCTTTGGGGTGAAGGCTGCCGGACAAGCCTTTCGGCTCGGGCATTGCGCACATGTTCGTTGTGTAAGTTCTCAACTTCACCCTGCTCAGCTCGACTCGCTCAGTGGATTCTCTGCTGGTAGTAAATGAGACATGCATGTTACAATGGACAGCATATGCCAAAACAGCAGATTACCCTCAAATGCTCGCACTGCCTGAGCAATCAGAAAGCAATTGGAGCAGAAAGGTTGCACCAAAGTGTCTTCCGTCATCCGAAATTGAGCTGCTCACGTCTCACGTCGTTACAACATGTTTCCAATACAGAATCAGCACCACTGACTAGGTCAGAAGCAGAATTTCCATCGATCACCACGGATTTGTAGCTCTGCTGCTCCCCGTAGAAGAGGGCCGAAGGTCTCCTGCACGGCACGAAGTAGCTGCTACAGCTGTTCTGGCGCCCTGCTGGCAAACGCTTAAGTCATAACCAGTCGCGTGGGGGAATGGTGAGACCCCCCTGAACGCGCAACCAAACCTCAACAACACGCACGAACGAACGCACGAAGCAAGCGAAAAACAGTGCCCGCATTCCCCACACCCATCCAAAGCCTAGATCTGCACACGCCACCAAACATACACTCAAAGCAAGCGACAAAACCAGCACTGCATGCGCTAAACCCTAACTACCGAGCATACGCTCAAAACCAGCGACAACTACACGCACCACCGAATCGCTCAAAACCGGCGACATTAACAGTAGCCGCATCCTCCAAACCCGGACAACACGAACCACCGAACATGAGCTCAAAGCAGGCATCGCCCAAACCCCAACTGCACACAACACCGAACCCACACTCAAAGGGAGCCGCGCCTCCCAAACGCTCAAAGGATGCAGTCAAAACAGCAGCCGAATCCCCTAAACCCCAACCACATACACCACCGAACATACACTCAATTCAACCGACAGTATAGCCAGTATAGCCGTATACCCCAACATCCTCAACTACATGCACAAAAAGAAGACCACTTCTGGCAAACCCCGAAGTTGTTGGCGTCTGGGACGATTCCTGTCCCTCTTTTTTCCTGTTCGCATTAGAATCCCAAGCCCGATTTGAAGGCCTAGGACCATTGTATGTATTTGTATGCTGCTCTGATTCTAGAACCATCATTTGGCAGCCTCGAATAGGTCCTGGTTTCAGTGATTATGTGTTCGGCCTATTCATCCGTCGTGTTCTGCTCCTGCATACTTATCATGCTAATCCCAGCTAGACAGTCCGTTTGAAACAGACCCATTGCAACCATTTGCCATTGTGGGTTGCATGCACAGAGCGTGTCGTCATTGCCAGTTGGGATAATGACTTCAACATCATGCAGCATGCACATACGCAGACAGCGCAACGGATACCACATAAGTATATCCGGGCTTGGAGGAAGTGCCAACTGACCCTGCGTTGCCTAAAAAATTGAAACTCCAAGTAAACACCCCAACGCAAAGATCGCTCCATCCCCCCAAAGTACTGCCGCTCCCGGAGGCAAAAAGCAACAATGTTGGTAGCTGGGGGTAGGGTACAAGCGCAACCAACTCAGACATGCGTGGATGTAATGGCCCCTGTAAACCCGTCGTGCGGTACGTGGCCTGTCGCGATGGTGGCAAACCCCGACTACACGCAATGCCGGAACGACTTCATGTTTTTGGTTCCCCCAAGTACTCATGCAAGGGACCGGTAACGACTTCCACAGCTCACAAGTGTGACTCCAGGCGATGGAAGATGATCAACTAAATGGAAGATGATCGGACGGCAGACTCAATGACAAATTGAGTGACTGACAAAATGACTTCAAAGAGGAATCTCAGAGTCCTATCGCATACGCAGTATGACTCGCAGTACGTGGGGCGCAAGGTGCCGCTCATAACCCGCAAAATGCCATTTTTTCCACCACTAAGACTCAGCTGCAAGAAACGAGGCTTCTGAGCAAGGGAAAGCCAGCCCGCAGAGCTCTGCAACCACAACCACCTTTAGTAAGATCTGAGATCATCTGAGCATCTGTGCCGTGCCACTGTTCCAAAACTCGCGCACGCTTCTTCCCCAAAGCCTGGACATTCGCAACGCTTCGCAACGCTTCGCAAGCTTCCATTCATAAGACCTTGCTCCAACGGTGTTTAGGCCGAAACCTCCCGTTCCAATCCTGACTTCTCCGCTCACGCTGCAGCTGCCCACCACATGCAAAAGCCAGCCGCTCCTCAATGCCTCCATCTCACAGACTCCGGTCTAAATTCCCACACTATTCCCACCAGCCACTTGTTTTAGACTGGGAACCAGCTGGTTCCTGCGGTTTGCAGATGCTCGCATGAAGGTGAATCAGAGTACTGTTCTAGCCAAGTTTGTTGGATCACTCAGCCATCTCTTCTACTGTGGCGGCCCCTTCTGCGCAGCGAAGGCCGCGACTTAAAAACAAAAACAGTGCAGGACACACTTGCAGACGTGCAGTTGATTCCTTCAGCATTCCAGCGCCAGATACCCAGAAGGGAATACTGAAGAGTGCCTGGCATGTTGCTTGCTGCATGTCCCTTCTCGAATTTCAGATGCCAGCAGCTCTGCAATCACAGTGACTAATGCAGGCACGGGGTTACCATAAACGAGGCACCGGCGGCAATCACCCCCGCTGTCCAAACCGCAGTGAAAGTCGTCCACGCTATTCCGAAAGTGCCTCTGGAGCTCACACCGGCCAGTAAAGCACGCTCTCGCATGCTCTCGCGGCGCACATACAAGCAGCATGGACTCGAACTAAGGCACGTGCCCAGCGAAACTCGTGATTCCCATCTGGCGGGTGGAAGCAGCACCTCCATCACAGACAACTTCGCAAGAGGAAGCCGATGTTTCACGGTGAGCAAGCCCATGCTGGCTCGCGAGTGAACAGGGCACCCTCAGCTCCTCCCCGCGTCTGTCCACGGATATTCGAGACCTGATCACAAACACACACACCACACCAGTCAGCCATGCAATCGGAGCAGGCGTGGACAAGAGCCACACTGCATGTTGCAAGCTGCACTCTGGGTACTGCACCCACGCGGAGGCTCCAATGTAACCTGCGGCAACTGGAATCTCGTGAATGAGGTGTTGCAAGCTACCACAGATTTGTACTGGGTGGTCGCCCGAAGTCGCGGCAGGCCGTCGAAAGTCGTTGCAATGCTGCTTTTCCGCATGGT